TATATACAGTTGCCATAATGGCGTCTAACTTTATACTTTCAACATGTGATTATCAACCAATTATCTCTCAGACATAGAGAATGTTTCCAGAGGTAGAGTATACCCTCTGGCATGAAACTTTTTAATGAGAAATCTCTTCCTTTGGTTTTAACTAAGGAGATACATAAAGAAAATGTTACATAATAGTTTATTAGCAAAAATTTTAAATAACTACTTTTAAACTTAGCTTAAATTTATTACTGTTTTACCAGGAATAAAAATGAAAAAAAAATGACTTTTTGTATCTTCTCATTAGCCATTATTTATTTCAGACATTTATTTTCATTTATTTCATCACGTTCTGTCTGGTGCTATTTACTGTGGTGCTGATTATAATCAACAGCTTTGTTGTTGAGTTAAGAGCCATTGAAACAATAATTAACACTACTGATTGCAGTTTATTTGTCTTACGTTAAATAGTAAGTGAACTTCAACATGACTTTCAGATAGGTAGGGCAAATTTTTGTAAGTCTAAAGAATGATAATTTCTTTCATTAATATGTAATTACCATATTTTTATTGACTCTTTCAGTATAATAACTTTTTTCCATATAGTATTTAAGATCATTTGAGATATACATAAAATCAGGATGCATATATTCTTTTTAAAGGTTTTTTATTTCTGGCAATTCACCGTCTAAGAGAGTGTGATATTATAACTTAAATTATCTTTGTGTCTTCTGGCATAATGAGCTCATTGGAAAGTACTAAATTCATTTCGCTGTTTGAGAAAGCAGGACACTCTACAAAATAAAATGCATATGATAAGTGGATACTCCTATCTAAAAAGAAGATATTTTTGGAAGGAAAAAATACAAAAACGGTATATCTATTATTACTGCCAACTGAAATTTAAGAATAATTTGTAGGGTGTTAATGAGTAAATATTTAAGTTCCCGGTGGGTGCCAGCCCCATTCCTTCTGGGGAAATCACCAGGCATTGTAGCCATAATCTCTGAAATCAAGAACTTTAGAGCCCAGTTGGGATTAAAAGTGTAACAGTCCTGCCACAGCTGGCAAGCAATACTCCTAGAGGAGGCAGACCATGATAGGTACGTAGACAGGCTTCATTGAGCAAGGCTGGTTGTTTCCTGGCTCAGCTTCGCTCTGTGACCTTCGGCAAGTTGTTTTGCAGTTCACCTCGTTTACCTGATTGCAATACTGGAATATGGCACCTACCTCAATGGAATGTTGACGAATAAACAAAAACGTTTAGAAAAGTGGCTGTTAAATAGTAGATGCTGTTTATTGTCTTTGCAGTCAGTTTTGCAGGCGTATATTAGAGATCAAGAATCTTGAAGATGAAAAAATTAGAGTGAAAAGGAAGACAGCTGCTGTTCATCTACTGTATCTAATAATTAAGTTAGATACTTACCTGACTTTGCTAGCATTCTAAGCACAGTGGCAATGTCTTGGTAATTCTCTAGTTCCAGTACTTGATAGCTGTCCTCTTCGGTTTGTCATCATTAATTAAGTGTTGAATTAGCTAATTGTTGTCATTATATACCTCAACAGTTCACAAAGCATGGTCATGTAAATATTTGCTCATTTCCACAACCTTATAGTAATGGTGCCTTATGGTTAATTGAGTGCCGACTCTGTGCCAGGCGCTAAGATGAAATAGGCTCTTAACCAAATTGCCTGTTTTTCAAATGATGACACTAAAATTTGAAGGCATAAATAACCAAAGCCACGGAGATAATAAGAGACTGGGAAAGCAATCCAGTTCAAATCTGACTCCAAACTGTATGGTTCTCACTAAACCACACCATTTCTCCTTTTACATGAAGAAGAGGAGAGTCTCAGAAGGGTTTAGCCATGATAAAATAGCAAAGAACACACTGAACTCTGCTGAGCTGAACTGAAGCAGGAAACAGTGAAGGCTTATAGAGATAAAATATGTGATAACCATAAATGTTTAAAGTGATCCAAATAAATACTCTTTCTTTTATCCAAGAGTATAGAAATATTAACAGTGGACTTGAGTAATGATTGAAAGAATAGAAAAGAATATAAATTTCTAAGCTGAAAGTAGGGGAGCAAAGGGAATAATAAAAATAAAAATTGGCCAAAAGCAGGTAAAATTGAAAGAAAAAGAAGTATAATATAGATGGAAATAATAGAAATAGCACATATAAAATGATAGCTTTAAACTTGACTATATTAGTAATTAGATGGACATTTGTCTTATATAAAATGACAGCTTTAAACTTGAATATATTAGTAATTAAAGTGTATATTTGTATTCCATGTATATTATGTGTATTTTATGTGCAGTCCATATATGTGATTATATTGCCAATAAAAGTTTTTAAATTGTTTTAATGCTTTGGGAGTATTCAGATTTCAAATTGCTTCAATGTGTGAATGGTCTGTGCAAAGATGTTCTATCAAATTTCTCTTCAGAAAATAATAAGCATCTTTACAGACTATCTTTCTCTAAAAAGCAATGTGATAGATTATAATACATGTTTATACAATTTAAAAAACATGTACAGTAAAAATATACAGTATATTTAAAGCAATACCTGAAGCATGAGGAAGACGAAACCAATTTTACTGAAGTTACTGTGACTGAGCATTAAATTTAGCTGTAAGCTTTTCCTTACCTAAATCAAAAGGTATGAATAGATTCCACTCATCCCACAGTATACAGTGTATCTGTGTTTATGAGGTGTGATTTTAGCCATTTAAAAGAGAAAAATTTTCAGCAATAAAGTAACAGTCTTAAGCAACCTCATTATTTATGAGTGACCATATTGTTATTTAGTCACATTACTAATTTTAGAATCTTTTTCTAATTACTAATCTTTTTCTTTGTAGGCTCTGAATGGCTTCGTGCTGGTTGTCACTACAGATGCTTTGGTCTTTTATGCTTCTTCTACTATACAAGATTACTTAGGGTTCCAGCAGGTAAATATATTTTTCTTGGGTCATTTAAAATCTTTTTAGAAATTAACTCTATGTATCATACATTTTAGGGATGTAATTGACACTTTATATATAGAAAATGTCAATTAAAATATGCTTATAAAATAAAAATCATCTTTTTGCAGCTAATAATTTCTATACTATTAATAATTTACTGCATTATAATTTTCTTAAATGTTTTATGAGATTCATGGATATTGTGTTTCATCTTTCACTTATTAAGGAATCTCTTATATATTAGAAACATTGGATGGGGGGCAGACAGGAGATTATTTGCCATCAAATTAGTTATGGATACTATGGAGGGCATGCGGCAGCTCTGAAATGAATGAGGTGATATGTAAAGGTACAGGCAAAATATCATGGTTTATATCTTTAATTCTGACTTAATGCTGATAATGGAAGCTTTCCTGATGCAAATGGTATTTAAGTATAAGATTCAGGGGGTGGACTTTAGTGTAGGAGGAGCACAGGAAAGAAGAGATAGAAGCACTACTATAAGCAGTAGACTGGAAGTGCTTAAAGAGGTGAATGTATTTGGTTTGTTTAATGTTCTTGAATAAATGGTGCATAAATGGAGTGGTGTTTTTCATATTTGAGGGACAAGAGCATCTGATATGATGTGAGAACAGTTTGTAAGTACACTTGACTGCTAGCTTTTCTTATGTATCACTAGGTCTTAAATTCTAATGTGTTAAGACTCACTGGAAGAACTTGATGCAAAACTAAAATCTTTGGTCCCCACTCCGACATACTCTGATTTAGTGCGTCAGAGTGGGGCCTATGAATTCGTATGTCAGACAATCTCTCAGGTGATGCTGAGACTGCTGGCTTGAATAACAGTGTCTACACTGCTAAACCGACTGAAGTTTAAACTATGTTAAGTACACAGTGGAAGCCTCTAAGCTTTTTTTTGTTAAGGGAACCTGTGCTACAGTCTGTGTTTCCGAGAAGAACTCTGGTAATCGGGTAATGGACTACATAGAGATGGTTTAATGCTAGTTACGTTCACAAGGAGGTTTAAGTCTAGATAGCTAAACCAGCGGAACCTGGCTCTGCGACAAAGCCTATCTTGTGGAGAGTCAAGTGGTAGAAGAAGGATTCTGACCTGGTAAAAGTATAATCCCTTATTCTTCCAGAGTGGACCGGAAATAAAAATTTAACATTAAAGAAAGTCTAAGACAACTGGATTTTCAGACAAGCATTTGTGAAAGAAATAGGATTTAAAAGATCAAGAAGTGGCTAAAAAGACACAGAACTTAATGTGTTGCCATGAAGGAGTGAAGAGTTCACTTCTGTAATTGAAGAGCATTCAGCTAAGGAAGTGATGGCAAGGAACTCTTGCTCACCAGTGACAGTGCTCCCCTCTCTCTAGCTTTTCCTATCTTGGGTGACTGGACAGCTCTGTGATCATCTGTCTGATTCATGTGCATTCATCACCATTAACGACCACCCCGTAATGTAGCTACATTTTGAAATTAACTTAGTAAGACACATTTTTTTAATCACGGCTTTAAAAAAATTTCCCTGTGTGTTTTTTCTTTAGTCTGATGTCATACACCAGAGTGTGTATGAACTTATTCACACTGAAGATCGACCTGAATTTCAGCGTCAGCTGCACTGGACATTAAACCCTACGCAGTGTGCAGACTCTGGACAAAGAATTGATGGTAAGAATGTTTACCGAAAGATAGTGTTGGGGAGTTTTTAATGTAAGTCTGTGAAAAGAGGCAGAGAACCTTTGGAGGCATATAACTCCTTGGTTAAGGTTGGGAAGAAGTGGAAAGACAGGAGTCTGCAGTTGGATGTCACAGCCAAGTCACAGACCGAAGACCTAAGGAATATTTTGACAAATGACCACCATTGATGAGTTTCAAGCTAAGAAGTGTTACCATACTTGGTAATATATTTTATACAAATAACTTTTGAAAGATTGGAAGGAATGTATAAGGTTGATCCTGGAGTGTGTAGAAGTTGTTCTGTCTGTAAAATGCACCAAATAAAAATCCAAAGGTAAAATCTTTTCTCAATCAATGCTTTTAGAAATGTGTGAAGGTGCTAAGATAAAAAGTGTTAGAGAATATGAAGATTATTGACAATAGAAATAAAAACAAAACTGAGTAGTTGAAGTTCTGTGTAGTAAAAGTGATATTCTGTACGTGTATTTCTTTTCATTAGCTCCTCTTCTGAAAATGATTCTTCATTTCTGTATTCAGAATCGAATCTGGTTAAGAAATTAACACAAATTTTATCTACCCCAAAACACCTGATTGTACAGCAAAATGGGATGTAAATTTGTGTTGCTATTATTTCTCTAGAAGCTAATGGCCTCCCGCAGCCAGCAGTCTGTTATAACCCAGACCAGCTTCCTCCAGAAAACTCTTCCTTTATGGAGAGGAGCTTCGTGTGCCGACTAAGGTGTCTCCTGGATAATTCATCTGGTTTCCTGGTAAGGTGCAAAATCTTATGATACTGGCAATTGCAGTTCAGAAAGTAAGAAATAAATGTCGAAACCATTTTCTTCGGTTAGATTTGAGTTTGATTTTAAAAACCTCCTTTATAAAATAATTGCATGAAGGAAAGTAACTTTTTTTTTTTCAGATTTCTAGTATCTTCCATAACTCCAAATCTCGATCTTTTAGGATATAGTAACAAAGACTGAGTGAAATAACATGGACTTTGTATCTTGGCAAAATATTTCTGGGTCTTTTTTATGTAAAAGAGAACTTAGTAGCCGTTTAGCAGCAGACTGCTGCTTTAAACCCTCTTTGCATTTAATTCCTGCTGAACAGAAAATTATCATGTCCTTTGCTACACAGCTACAGTAACTGCCATATAGAAAAATGGTTGTAGGGCCACCTGGGTAAATCAGTCAGTTAAGCGTCCGGCTTAGGCTCAGGTTATGGTCTCATGGTTTGTGGGTTTGAACCTCATGTTGGGCTCTGTGCTGACAGCTTGGAGCCTGGAGCCTGCTCCAGATTGTGTCTTACTCTCTCTCTGCCCCTCCCCTGCTTGCAGTCTCTCTCTAAAAAATAAATAAAAACATTTAAAAAGAAAGAAAAATGGTTGTATATTCATGATTGCAAAGTAGTCATCTGGTATGAGATGCTGTTGTTCTGAACACCTGAACAGGATAATCAGGGAGCAGCTTTCTCAGGATGCTCAGATTCATACTGTCTTTGTCCTTAAGGAAGTGCACTCCACTAGGCACAGAAGACAGTACAAAGCATAGTGCATATTACTCTTGTGAATTAGCAGGAATTTGAAGTAACCAGATCTTAAACATTATTAGCAAACAGTGATTTTTTTTTTTTTAATTTTTTTTTTTCAACGTTTATTTATTTGTGGGACAGAGAGAAACAGAGCATGAACGGGGGAGGGGCAGAGAGAGAGGGAGACACAGAATCGGAAGCAGGCTCCAGGCTCTGAGCCATCAGCCCAGAGCCCGACGCGGGGCTCGAACTCACAGACCGCGAGATCGTGACCTGGCTGAAGTCGGACGCTTAACCGACTGCGCCACCCAGGCGCCCCGCAAACAGTGATTTTTGTTAATGTGTTTATTTCTGAAGATAATTTTGCTGACCCAGAGTTAGAATCGTGCTTTGAGATAGCTTTCCTAGTACTGATGATCAGCTAATATGTATTTCTCAGGTGGAATTTGCATAATTGGGTCTTTGGTTCCTTGTGCTGCTACCATATCATACTGAGGTCAGAATCATCCCTCAGCCTGATTAATACTGTTTTAAGCAACTAAGTTGACCATGTTCACATTTAAATCATCTTTGTTTCCTCAATCTTCTTTCTAAAAGTACCCTTTATTGTTAATTTGAGTTCTGCATTCTTTATATGATTTTATGATTAATTTTAGCATTTTAATGAAATTGTATTTTATCTGTATATGAAAGATTGCCATGAGTTATGAAATAGAGCATGAGCTGTGGAATATAGCTCATCTCTATTTGAAAATTAATGTGTACTTGATGACTTTAGCATTATTCGTTCATTCAGGAAACATGTATTGAATGCCATGGGGGGAAGGAGCTACGTCCTCTAGGTGTGAATGACAGGGCATTTATGAGCTCAGAAAATGATACGGGTATTTTTGTTGTGACCGTTAAAAAGGAGTACCTTATTGGTCTGCCCCTTTAGCATCTAATTCATATTGCCATTTGGGATAATTATAATGGGCTTCTTGTGGAGAAAAGAATGGATGTAACATCAGTCAGCCTCAGGAACTTTTATGGAATTATCAACAACACTGGAAATGGCCATGATTGAGCCTTTGGAAATTAACAGTTTTAAAGGGTTAATTTTAATAAGCCGTTTTTGGTTTTTTAAAGGCAATGAATTTCCAGGGGAGGTTAAAGTATCTTCACGGACAGAACAAGAAAGGCAAAGATGGGACAATCCTTCCACCTCAGTTGGCTTTGTTTGCAATAGCTACTCCACTGCAGCCACCCTCCATACTTGAAATTCGAACCAAAAACTTCATCTTTAGAACCAAACACAAATTGGACTTTACACCTACTGGTTGTGATGCCAAGTAAGTAAAACTTGTTCAGTTTTCTTTCATTAAATGTATATTTTGTTGTAGCAAATCTCTCTTAGTATGTAAAACATGTAGTGTAAATTATAATGTTTATTAAATTAGCTGTTATTTCATACTCTTTCAGTGTAGCCTTTTAAAATAATTTAATCAGGCTCACAAATCCTCTTGTAATTTTTTTTACGATACTTGTCACAGTTTCTGTGTCATAAAGATGATTTGCTTGTATTAGTAAGATTCACTATCCTGATGACATTTGTTGGTTTGTTTTACATTTTTTAATGCACAGACTCTATTTGATTTTTAGCCCTAGAAGTTGAGTAACTTCCAGAAAATTATGAGGTAGACTGTGATATTAGCATTCATACTGTGTCAAAACCTATAATTGGTTTTCCCCTAATATGGGAATGCAGACAGATGTGAAAAGCTTTGCCCCTTGAAATGGAGTATATGCTTTCTAGGTTTTTATTAAAGATTCTGTTTTACCTACATAATCTACTCTGTTAGATTCATCTTTAGCCATGCTAATTTTCAAGTTTTTTTTTTCAGAAGAAGAAAATAAAACTGATATTAACAGTCATAAACAAAAGAGATCACTTGCATGAATATGGTTTTTTCTACTGCTCATATGAAATTCTGAATCAAGGAAAACAGTGCAGAAAATAGCATATAACTGATCAATTAGGTTGTTTATTTCATTTATGTTAAATTTTAATTTCTTATTTACCTTTTTTTTTTTTTTTAAACAGAGGAAGACTTGTTTTAGGCTACACTGAAGCAGAGTTGTGCATGAGAGGATCAGGATATCAATTTATTCATGCTGCTGATATGCTTTATTGTGCAGAGTACCATATCCGGAGTAAGTTGTATTTTGTTATGAATGTGTCCAAAAAAACTGCATATATTCTAGTACATGTTTCCAATTTTACATAAGGTAATGAGTTTAAAGCAACTGGATAAACTTACAGTCGATGTCAAACCATTATGATTAACCTGAATTACACTCAATTTATTAACTGCCTTACACCTACCATGCAAGAGTCTAGTACTTTAATTACTATGAAAATGAACATTTTGCCCAATGTTTTGCTCAATTTTTAATGGCATTTTAAATGGTATCATTAATTTATAAATCTATGCTAATGTAGATTATGCTTTAAAATGGTTAAATAAATTCCTAAGTGGTAGAAACATTCCCTTTTTAAAATGAAATTAATTTTAATCGTTTTGTTTTCCCCAAATTGTGTACCCTCTCTGTAGTTAGATGTATTACCAGAATTTTCTGATTTAATCTTCCCTTTAATCTACTAAATAATAAATTTAGTCTTGGGGCGTCTGGGTGGCTCAGTCGGTTAAGCGACTGACTTCGGCTCAAGTCATGATCTCATGGTTTGGGAGTTCGAGCCCCATGTTGGGCTCTTTGCTGACAGCTCAGAGCCTGGAGCCTCCTTCAGATTCTGTGTCCCCACTCTCTCTCGGCCTCTCCCTACCTCGTGCTCTGTCTCTCTCTCTGAAAAATAAACATTAAGAAAAAATTTTTTTTAAATAATGTTTAGTCTGAAGTAGAAAATAAACAACTCTGAAGAACTGTTTCCATACATTTTAATATATTGTGTTTAAAAGTTATCAAGACATATATCATCTTTGGTGATAAAAGAAATATGTCCAAAAAATATGTCATAGGGGCTTTGTTTCAGAGGTTTTCTTTAAAATGTTGATTTCAGGGGCACTTGGGTGGCTCAGTCAGTTAAGCGACTGACTTTGTCTCAAATCATGATCTTATGGTTCTTGAGTTTGATCCCCACGTGGCGCTCTGTGCTGACAGCTCAGAGCCTGGAGCTTTTTTCCTCTCTCTCAGCCCTTCCCTCACTCATGCTGTGTCTCTGTCTCTCAGAAATAAGCATTAAAAAGAATTAAAATGTTGTTTTCAGGTTTGATAATTTAATTTTTGGATTTTGTTTTAGTGATTAAGACTGGAGAAAGTGGCATGATAGTATTCAGGCTTCTCACCAAAGACAATCGATGGACCTGGGTTCAGTCTAATGCACGCTTAGTGTATAAAAATGGAAGACCAGATTATATCATTGCAACTCAGAGACCACTGACGTAAGTACAAAGACAAAATGTTTCATGTCTTAATTTCTTTTTTTTTTTTTTAATAACACTTTGGTTTATAAATCCTCTTACATGAAAACCTCAAAATAAATTCTATGAGAATTTTCTCTGGAAGTAAAAACTGAAAATATGTAAAGAAACAAGGCATAAATGAAGGACATTGAGAAGACAGAATTGACAAACTTTATTGAACAACTAAATAGGTGGAATTACAGAAAGAGAATAACCAAAGAAGACTCCAGGTTTTTTCCTGATGTATGAAGGAAAGATGAAAAGCTAGTGCCATATATAAAATAAAATAAATGCATAACAGTCCTGTGCTTAGTACATGTTTTCTAAACAAGCAGAGGTTTTTGTGTTTCATATAGATTCTGTAAATAAGCATTTTGTCAGATATTTGTATTAGAAATGTTTTCTACGCTCTAGAGAGCTGATGTTTTGTTTGTATGTGACTTGAGGTAAGATCAACATTAATATTTTCCTTTATACGTATATCCAGTTGATCAGAATCACTTATTGACAAGGCTGCTTTTTTTCCCTGCTCCACTGCATTTTGATCAGGGGATTGTGTCTGTGGTTCTATTTCTGGATTCCATTAGTCTACTTGTCTGTTTTCACCTCAATAGCACATTATCTTTATTACTACATCTTTATAATAAATCTTGATATTTGTGTGTCAGCTTTCCATATTAGTTGAGGAATTTTTGTTCTCCTCTAGCATTGTCTCCTCTCTTCTTTATCCTTTGTATTTTAGAAATAAGTTGTCATATTTCACCGGAGTATCTGTTGTGATTTTGAACGGAATAGCATTGAAACTATAGCTTATTTTGGGATAATCAGCGTCTTTACAATACTGACTCTTCCAACCCTTGAACATGGTGAATATATGTATGTGCATATGGGTACATGAGTCTGTACCTATGTCTTTGTCTTAATAATGGGTTGTATTTTTCTTACCTGACTCTTACGTATCTTTTTCTTAATTTTATTTCTAGTTATTTGATGTTTTGTGATGCTGTTTTTAAATGGTGTGCATGGTGTGGTGCCTGGGTGGCTCAGTCGGTTAAGTATCCAGCTCTTGATTTCAGCTCAGGTCATGATCTCATTGTTCGTGAGATCGAGCCCCAAGTCAGGCTCTTGTACTGACATCATGGAGCCTACTTGAGATTCTCTGTCTGTCCTCCCCCTTCCACTCTTTTGCTCAAAAAAAAAAAATAAAACATTAAAAAGAATAGTATGCATGTGTACACCAGTTTCTAATCGTTGAGTTTTTAATGCTGGCTTGTATTCAGTGAACTTATTGAAATACACTTATTCTCATAAGTGTCTGGGTCCTTCACAATTTACTACATAACATTTGCAATAATTTTTTTAATCTTTAGACATTATTTTTTAAAATTCCTTTATTGCACTGGTTAGGCCCTCAGTAAAATGTGAAAGAAATAATGATATCAGGTTTTGTTTTTGTCTTATTACCAGTCTCAGGGGGAAATCTTTTAATATTTTACCACCAAGTATGATGTTGTGATAGTGCTTTTGCTACTAAATTTTATATATATATATATACATACACACACACACACACGTGTGTGTGTATGTATACACACATACATATACAATATCTAGATACTACATGCATACATATATACACATATACATTCTGTACATTTATATACATTATATTCATATATCCATACAGATTATATACATTTTGCTACTAAATATATATTTTTAAGTATATGTACACTCATGTATATATACGTATAATATATATATTCATGTGTGTGTATGTGTGTGTGTGTGTGTATATATATATATATATGTTTTTAATTTAAGAGCTTCCCTTCTCTTTAGTTTACTAAATGTTATCATCATGATGGGTGCTGAATTTTGTTAAATACTTCTGGATTCATTAACATGATGATGATTTTTCTCTTTTATGCTGTATTTCCTTTTCATTTTGTAATATCTGTACTTTTAAAGAAACATTGTTATTAGCAAATTGTGCCTTCTCAAATAATATTGCTACAAAGCCATTAGTTTCTAATCTTCTCAAGGATCCAACTTTTGGTTTGTTGATTTTTCCTATTGTTTGCTTGTTTTCTGCTGCATTTATATCTGCTTATTACTTCTTTCCTTCTACCCTCTTTGGGTATATTTGCTGTTTTTCCAGCCTTTAACTACAGTCCTTGTGTTTTGATTTGTCTTGTTTTTTCTATTCATGATTTTGAAATATATTAGTATGTACTTTTTACATTGGGGATTTTCTGGGTTTTTTGTTTTAAAAAAAATTTTCTTAATGTCTTCTAGAGCGAGTGCACGTGAGTGGGGGAGGGGCAGAGAGATAGGGAGACACAGATCCGAAGCAGGCTCCAGGCTCTGTTCTGTCAGCACAGAGCCCAATGTGGGGTTTGAACCCATGAACCTTGAGATTGTGATCTGAGCCGAAGTTGGACACTCAACCGACTGAGTCACCCAGGTGCCCCTGGTGTTTTTGTTATTGAATTTTACATCAATTCCACTGAAGTTAGAAAACATTCTGTGTGTGATGTCAGTGTTTTGAAATTTTATTTTTTGTATAATTTATGATCAAATGTTTTATGATCAAATATATAGTCAGTGTTAGTAACATATCCCATGTGCTCTGGTCAAGAATCTATGTTCTATTGCAGGTATAGTGCTCTTCATTTATCAGTGGTTTCATTTGGGCTGTTCATATTTTTACTATTTGAGTTTGCTTGTTCTGTAGTTATTAAAAGGTTATTGGTTGCATTTTCTCATTACCAATGAGGCAGGACATCTTTTGTATCTTTCTAGGGCATTTTCCTTCTATGAATTGTCCGTTCATATTGTTTGTCTATTTTCTCCTATGTTGTTTGCCTCTCTTTGGGTCCTCATTGGAGCTCTTTACTTCCTATGGGTGTTAAGTTGGATATATTTATACACACACATACTATATATAGTATACATGTGAAATTACAGACATGACACGTTTTATCTGTGCATTAACTTGATTTATGAATGTAAGATTTTTAATTTTTATGTCAATTATGCTAGTATTTTCCTATAGAGATTCTCCATTTTATTTACACATGACTCTTCCCACTCAGATTTCTAAGATTTTTTAAGTATAATTAACATACAATATTTTATTAGTTTCAAATGTACAACATAGTGATTCAACAATTATACACATTATGTAGTGCTTACCATAAGTGTAGCTGCCATATGTCAGCGTATAAAGTTATTACAGTATTATTGACCATATTCCCTGCGTCGTACTTTTCATCCCCATAATTTATTATAACTGGGAGTTTATACCTCTTAATCCCATTCATCTATTTAACCCATCCTCCCAGCACCTTCAGTCTGGCAACCACCAATTTGTTCTCTATTTATGAAACTGTATCTGTTTTTGTGTGTGTGTGTTTTGTCAGTTTTATAGATTCCAGGTAAGTGAAATCATATGGTATTCATCTTTCTCTAACTTTCACTTAGTGTAACACCTTGTAGGTCCATCCATGTTTTTGTAGATAGCAGGATTTCATTCTTTTTTATGGCTGAGCAATATACCATATCTTCTTTATCCTCTCTTCTGTTTAATAGACAGGTTGCTTCCATATTTTGGCTATTGTAAGCAGTGTTGTAATAAACATAAAGGTGTCTCTATCCTTTTGAGTTAGTGTTTTCATTTTCTTTGGGTAAACACCCAGCAGTGAAATTACTGAATTGCATGGTGGTTATTTTTTTCATTTTTTGAGGAGCTTCTATACTGTTTTCCACGTTGGCTGTGCCAGTTTACATTCCCACCAACACTGCATGAGGGCTCCCTTTCCTCCACACCCTCGCTACCACTTGTTATTTCTTGTTTTTGATGGTAGCCATTCAGACTGGTGTGAGGTGATATCTCATTGTAGTTTTGATGTGCATTTCCTTGATAATTAGCGATGTTGAACATCTTTTCATCTGTCAGTCGTCTGTTATATTCCCTGGAAAAATGTCTATCAGGTTCTCTTTTTAATCAGATTCTTTTTGGTAAGTTGTATGAATTATTTATATATTTTGGATATTAACCCCTTATTAGATACATCATTTGCAAATATCTATTCAGTAAGTTGTCTTTTCATTTTGTTGATTGTTTTTTTCACTTTTCATAAGCTTTTTATTTTGGTGCAGTCCTAATCATTTGGTTTTGTTTTTGTTTTCCAATTTGTTGGCATACAATTTTTCATATAGTCTCTTGTATTTTTATAGGGTTGGTTGTTACTTCTCTTTTATTTGATTTTATTTATTTGCATTTTCTTTCTTTTTTTCTTGATCCTCGCTAAAGGTTTATTGATTATCTTTACAAAGGCTGTTGGTTTCATTAATCATGTCTTTGTAGTCTCTATTTCATGTATTTCTGCTCTGATCTTTAGTATTTCCTTCCTTCTAACTTTGTGTTTATTCTTTTTCTAGTTGCTTTGGGTGAAGGGTTAGATTTGTTTCAGATTTTCCTGGTTTCTTGAGATAGGCCTGTATTGGTTTCAACTACTTAGAACTACTTTGGGTGTGTCCCAAAGATTTGGACCACTGTATTTCCATTTTCATTTGTGTCCAGGTATTTTCTGATTTCCTTTTTCATTTCTTTGTTGTTCCTTTGGTTTTTTAATACCCTGTTGTTCAGCCTCCATGTATTTGTGTTTTTTCTAGTTGTTTTTTGTTTGTTTTTTTGTTTTTTTTTTTTTTTTTTTTTTTTTTTTTTTTTTTTTTTTTTTTTTTTCCTTACAGTTGATTTCTAGTTTCATTTATCTGTGGTCAGAAAAAATCCTTGTTTGGATTTCAGTCTCAAATTTACTGACACTAGTTTTGTGACTTAACATGATCTGTCTTAGAGAATGTTCTGTGTGCATTTGAATGTGCATTCTACTTCTTTTAGATGGAATTCCCTGTTATAGATTAACTCCATCTGGTCTAATGTATCATTCAAAGCCACTGTTTCCTCATTAATGTTTTGCCCAGATGATCTATCCACTGATGTAAGTGGGGTACTCAAGTCCCCTACTACTGTTGTGTTACTGTCATTTTGTGTCCCTTTATGTCTTTCATTTAGGCTTTGTATATTTACAGATCCTCTACTAGGTGCATAGATATTTGCATTTGTTATATCCTTTTGTTGGATTGATCCCTTTATCATTATGCAATGCCCTTCCTTTCTCTTGTTATAGTCTTTGTTTTAAAATGTATTTTGTCTTGTAAGTATTGTTACCCCAGCTTATTTTATTTTGCTTTCATTTGCATGGAAAATATTTTCATATCCCTTCACTTTTAGTCTGAATTTGTCTTTAGTCTGAAGTTAGTCTCTTATAGGTAGCATATAGATGGGTCTTGTTTTTTATCCAGTCACCTTGTATCTTTTGATTGAAGCATTTAGACCATTTATATTTAATTAATACATTAATTGCCATTGTGTTCACTGTTCTGATTTTTTTTTTTTTGTAGTTCTTCTCTTTTCCCTTATTTTCTTGCTTCCCTTCTGATGGGTATCTTTCTTCAGTGTCATACTTGGATTTCTTTCTCTTTATTTGATATTTTTTAAATCTTTTACATATTTTTGGTCTGCAGTAACCTTAAGGTTCATATATAACATCCCAAGTATATAGCAGTTTATATTAAGTTGATGGTTGCTTAAGTTTGAACACATTTCTAAAAGTACTATGTTTTTGCTGCCCTCTCCATTTTTTATATATTTGATGTTATGTTTTATCTTTGATTCCCTAAACTAATATTTAGATCTAATTCATTTTTACTACTTTTGTCTTCTCATCATCATAAGGTTAAATCATGCATTTATAAATGATCAATCTCCTGCCTGTACTCTAGGTTTGCCAGTGACAATTTTCCTTTCTTAATTTTCTCACTTCTTGTTGTGACCTATTTTTTCCTGAAAGAAGTCCCTTTACATTTCCTTTAAGTGGTTTAGTGGTGATGAATTCCCTTTAACTTTTGTGTGGGAAAGTTTTCATCTCTTCTTCAATTCTGAGTGATAGCCTTGCTGTAGGTTTGTTTCCTTTCAGTACTTGGAATATCTCATGACAGCCCCTTCTGGCCTGCGGAGTTTGGCTGCTTCCTGGACCAGAAAACCTGTTTCCTTCCCCAGTTTAGGGAATTTTTCAGCCCCTTTTCTTCTGTCTTCTTCTTCTAGGAGCCCTATAATGTGAATGTTTGTGTGTTTGATGTTGTCTCAGAGACCCCTTAACTTATCCTTTTTCTTTTTGCTGTTCTCCTTACCTGCTTTCCATTACCTGTGCTCCAGGTCACTGATCCATTCTTCTGCATTGTCTGACCTGTTGTTGATTGCTTCTGTATTTTTCATTTTAGTTAGTGTATTCAACTCTGATTTTTTTTTATATTTTATGTCTCTTGGCTGAAGCAGTCACTGAGTTTGTCTACTCTTCTCCCAAGTCCAGTGAGCATTTCTTTGAACTCTTTATCAGGTAGATTGTTTATCTCCATTTTGTTTAGTTTTTCTCAAGTTTTGTCTTACTCTTTTGTTGGAAGTGTTATCCTATCTTCTCATTTTGACTTTCTCATTAGGTTTAACAGGTACTCCCAATCTTGAAGGAGCAGACTTGTGTAGAAGGATCTCCTGTGTAGGTTGCATGTCTCTGGCACCTTTGGCTGAATGACTAGTGCTGTAGTGGGCAAGGAGTCCCCAGTTGCTCTGCACAGGGGTTGCCTTGGCTGGGATGGTTAATTCCTAAGTGTTATAGTTTGTTTTTATAGTTGGATCTTTATTCCACTTTGAATTTATTTTTTTCAGGAGAATTTCAGGGGTGGTAACTGAGAATGGATAGAATGACTAAATTCTGGGATAAATTCTAAATCACTTAAATTTTTCTAACAAGTTTTCTAACACTTGTTATCTGGAACATTTATGTCAAAGTAAAGTTCATGCTCCAGATCAAACTCAGTTACAATGTATTTTGCTTTTATATTGTTTTTCTATTACATTTTTCTAAGTGTTTGGTATAACTTTTTTTTCTCATACCCGATTTTAGAGATGAAGAAGGAACAGACCATTTACGAAAACGAACTATGAAGTTGCCTTTTATGTTTACTTCTGGAGAAGCTGTGTTATACCAGGTAAACAACCCTTTTCCTCCCATGATGGATCCCTTACCAGTGAGGACTAAAACTACTGCTTGTGGAAGAGAGTCTGCTACCACATCAACTCTAAATAAGGAATCTTTCAATCCCAATTCCCTCCTGGGTGCCATGATGCAACAAGATGAGTCTATTTATCTCTATCCTGCTTCCAGTAACACAGCTTTTGAAAGAAATCTTTTTAACGAACCTATGAATGAATGCAGCAATTGGCAAGACAGTATGGCACCAGTGGGAAATAACAGTATCCTGAAACACGAGCAAATAGGTCAGTCTCAGGACATGAACCCAGCAATCTCTGGAGGTCAATCAGGGCCCTTTGCAGACAACAGAAATAGTGACTTGTACAGCATTATGAAACACCTAGGCATTGATTTTGAAGATATCAAAGACATGCAACAGAACGAGGAATTTTTCAGAACTGACTTTTCTGGTGAGGATGACTTCAGAGATATTGACCTCACAGATGAAATCCTGACATATGTCCAAGATTCTTTAAGCAAGCCTGCCTTCCAGTGTCCCGGTTACCAGCAGCAACAGGCCATGGCTGTGAACTCAAGTTGTATGGTACAGGAGCACCTGCAGCTAGAACAGCAGCAGCAGCAGCAGCAGCGGCTGCAGCACCAGCAAAACCTCGTAGCATCGGAGCAGCAGCAACAACTGTGTCAGAAAATGCAGCATATGCAAGTTAATGGCATGTTTGCCAATTGGAGCGCTAACCAGTCTGTGCCTTTTGGTTGTCCGCAGCAAGAGCTACAGCAGTATAATGTCCTTTCAGACTTACCTGGGACCAGTCAAGAGTGTCCCTACAAATCTGAGACGGATGCTATGCCTTATACACACAACTTTATCCCCTGTGATCAGTCTGTGCTACCACAACATTCCCAGGGGTCACAGTTAGACTTTCCCTTAGGGACCTTCGAACCATCCCCGTACCCTACTACTTCTAATTTAGAAGATTTCTTCACGTGTTTACAAGCTCCTGAGAACCAAACACACGGACTTACTCCAGAGCCGCCCATAGTAACTCCTCAGACGTGTTATGCCGGGGCTGTGTCCATGTACCAGTGCCAGCCGGAACCTCCGCACGGCCACGAGGCCCAGATGCAGTACAATCCAACCATGCCGGACCCACAGGCATTTTTAAACAAGGTAAGGGTTTTCTCAGGCTGGGTAAACCTTTTTAGTGATTCTTCTTACATTTATAGACATCAATTATAAAATATTTATGTGACTCTTTTTTAACAAGCCAGTACTTTTCCAGCAGTAGTGTGTTACTAATAGATCTTTTTTAACTGAACAGCCACGGAGAAAAAAAATCAAGGGGTACAGCAACAAGAATATGTCATATATTGTTTAGAATAGATCCTTTGGTTTATCTCCGTTCTTTGTAATTATAGGACCCTTTAAAAATTCAGACTTCAGAGGCGCCTGGGTGTCTCAGTTGGTTAAGCGTCCAACTTTGGTCGTGATCTCGTGGTTTGTGAGTTCCAGCCCCACTTTGGGCTCTGTTGTTGACCGCTCAGAGCCTGTAGCCTACTTCCAATTCTGTGTCTCCGTCCCCCACTCACTCTCTGTCTCTCTCTCAAAAGTAAATAAACATTAAAAAAAAACTTTTTTTTTTAAATATCAGACTTCAAATATATATTTGCATTTTTAAAAGTAATTTCTTAAAGCTCAATCTATTTTGTATGTGTTAAAATCAGCTTAAAGTGAATACAGTTGTGCTTTTTTCAGACCCTTTGTCCTTGGTGATCCCTGAATTCAGTCTGAGGGTCCTCAGTGTTCTATGGCAATCCCTCCATGTTATCTGCCCAATCCTCATTTTATCCTTCAAGATGGAATGTTTTTTTCTAGCATCTTGTAAAAAAGCATAACTTACTGGCTTTCTCTCATGTGGTCAAGCTGGGTACTGTGCTAAATTTTTTACTTGTCTAAAAGTTTTATTTGAGAGAGAGACAGATCGAGCAGGGGAGGAGCAGAGAAAGAGGGAGAGAGAGAGAATCCCAAGCAGGCTCTGCACTGTCAGCACAGAACCCCATGGCGGGGCTTGTACTCATGAATTGTGAGATCCTGACCTGAGCCAAAATCTAGAGTCAGACACTTAACAGGTTGAGCCACCCAGGACCCCCCAGAATTGCTTGAACTCACAACCCTGAGATCATAACTCACATGCTTTACCAACTGAGCCAGCCAGGAGCCCCTATATTTTTAAACTATGTCATCAGAATACGTCTAGCAGCAAGCACACTTTAAATCTAAAAAAATTATATATATGTGTATATATATATACATATTTTTTAGATTTAAACATATGTGTGTCTGTGTGTGTATATATATATATGTTTTTAGATTTAAACAGTAATGGTAGCTGCTCTCTGTGGCCACTGGGGAATACATCATTTTTTCATTCATGCTTTTCTGTTAGAAAATATTGAGTTCATTTTATAGTATAATTAAATAGGCTTTTGAAGAAAATCTTGATTTAAACTAAGTTCATTGGTTTCTGTTTTCTGTGTATTATAGATTAGCAACAAAGATTCAAGTTAACATTTGTAATTGTCTTACATTTGTCTTGTATATGAGTTTTTTGATAGAAAATGGTAATGAAAGTTTTTCTTATCCTCATTTCTGACATCTTCAATTATATCAGAATTATTCAGTACACTCTCACAACATTGCTGTGAAGTACCATGGATAGGTAACTTGAGTAAGTTGTTGACAACTTAAAAATTTACATAACCTAAAATTTCATTACCAGGTTCTTTCGAGTTTTTTTTCTCCCCTCCCTGCCACTTTGTATTACTTCTTTATCAACATTGAGTTAATAGCAAGTCTGTAGACCTATGTATTTCCCCAGGGAGTTACTTTTAAAAATTGCCTATGTGGCTCACAGTATTATTTTATTGAATAGCATTGTTTTTGATAATATACTTCAAGACAATTGCTGACTTGCATTGTGTTAATGACTGGTAAGAGTAACTTACTCAAAGGCTACCATTCTCTGCATAATAACTTCCATTTGAAGGCTCCACAGCTGCCATTCACTGAAGACCTGGATTATATGACTTTCACTATATATTTAATGTGTGTTTTAGAGGATCTTTTAAATCTGTGTTTCAAGGAATTAAGGGTATGATTTTGATCTATATGAAAATTTCCATAACTTTCACTAACTATATCCAATACAAAGGCCCTATAATCTATAAAAGCATACAGACTGTTTTTTTTTTTTAGTAGCAGTTATAGACTCATTAGACTATTTGCATTATAAGAGGACAAGAGCAAGCATTTTATTTGATAAAAATCTATAATTAGGATACTTTTTAATAGTACTTACTAAAAGCCTGTAACAAATAAAAATGGTTTAGGAAATCATACCCATGCTGTAATATTTTAGGAATATTAAGATGCTTCTATCAGAAATGACCTCTTATAGAAAAGTTCTACGTCTGCAGTCCAGTCTAGTCATTTTGAATGCAGTCAAGACTTTGGTACCCAGAACTCGCCTGAGATGAAATCTGGTCAAAGCCAACCTATGTATGACGGATATATCTAACTGTGATTCATAACTGGTACTCTCTGATCCATCATTTCCTATCCAGACCAAAGGCAATTTGTTAATCAAATACTCTCCTAATACCACTTCTGAGCTGAGACCCATGTATCACACATCTGTACCATCTAATGGAGAAACCAAATTGTTATAAATGCAGCTAATACATAATATTTGCCGTGTTGGTCTTCATTGAATGATGTAAAGGATCTGAAGTTTAACATGCAAGGCAAAGATTTTAAAAATACTTTTTAATATATCATTTAGTGGCTTAAGATACTTGAAAAATCTAATAAGTTGCATTGCTATTTTTGTTTGCAGTTTCAGAATGGAGGAGTTTTAACTGAAACCTATCCAGCTGAATTAAATAATATAAATAGCACTCAGACTCCCACACACCTTCAGCCCCTTCATCACACGTCAGAAGCCAGACCTTTCCCCGATTTCACATCCAGTGGATTCCTGTAATGCCGAGCCCATTTTCACCATGGATGAAAGAAGATTACAGAATAATAGAACTATCAGTGTTGGACATCAGCAACTTTACATGGAGGCATTGATGTATGTTGTTCGCACTATTATTCCAAACCAAATTTTAATGTTTTTAAGAGTTAAAAAAAATTACCAAAACTACATATACTATAGTCATTAAAAAAGAAAGTGTACTGCCAGAGAGAGGGAGATGCTATCTTTGTTTCACTTTATAGTCTGAGTACTAGAGAATATACAAAATTTATTCAGGGGAACTTTATGACACTTTTAAATAAATTTCTGTCAGAAAAAAATGGAATACTTTTGAGTTTTCAACTTATCTATTCTTATTAGTACACCAAATAACAAACTATTTCCTTTTATCTTCTGCTTTTATCTCAGATGTTAAAATAAGTGGTTTGGTGCTTTTATAAAAAGATAATCTCAGTGCTTTACTCCTTTGTTGTGTAAGTGCCTCACAATTTTTTATACCTGTAACACTGTAGGATGTATATTTGATAGAAAGTAAACTTTTTAATAACTTTCTGCGCACAAATGTTATTTGTATTTCTTAAATTCAGTCCTTTGTATTAGTCCAGGCATGTTTTAACTGCACTACTCACCCACTTTCTTCAGGAAAAGGGCAAGTTATGATTGAAAAAATATTTATTACCTAGTTGCTTCTACATATTAAGTGTTGCTATGTGCCTTACGTTGAAAAATTTTGAAAGTAAAATGTCTTTCCAAATTATTTTTTGATCATCAAATAAAGACTGCAGCACTAAAATGTCAACAGTGTTTTCGGGAGAAAGAGATACACTGCAACTTACCTTTACTGAAATCTCCACCATGGTGGTTCAGTGTTGCAGGTGTGCAAAGATCTGCTTGGATGGGACCGTGTTTATCAACTTGCAACGAGGAGGAAGTAGCTTTATTTCTAGCTCTTTAATCACCATTTCACTGTGTATAAATTCTTTCAAAACTACTTTAGACCTAGAATGAACTTAAGGTAGAATATGTTGACTTTATAACTTTCACTTACTAGTACAGTGGAAACTATTTGTTTTTTCTCATATTTGAGGAGCGTGAAGTTTGAACCTGGCAATGTTTGATGCAAAGTATTGTTATGAGTGACACGATTGGTGCATTTATATAGTTTATAATGAACAAAATTATATTTAAAGTATTTTCAAGCTTTCATTTGAAAATAGTCTATACCTTATATATGCACGTAATTTGAGTCTCACATATATTCTTGCGTCTTTTCAAAATATCAAATAATGAATCCAACTGCTTTTACTTTGGTCCTAAGACACCCATGCCATTCTCTTAACTTCAAACATTACATTGTTTCTAGGATACAATGGCCTTTATTACTGGGAAGGCAAATGATCCCCCTGCTAACTTTACTGTCCTCAGGTAATTTTTAAAAAAGACTCATTTATTTAAATGTGACATCTGAAGGGCAGGCACATTTTTCATGTATTCTATAAAAAACATGACGGAATCTTAAACCAAGGTATAGTATTAAAATGCACTATTTTCACTTAATTTTTTTTTAGTAAATTAATGTATATCAAAGTGGCTTCAGAAAAAATATGTCAGTTCTATGCATTTTCATTTCATACTTTGAATCCATAGAATCAATTTAAGGAAAAAAACCAATTTGTCTAAAACATTTCATAATTTGTTTCCAGTATGAGGTATCACTAGAGATTTAGACCAGTGGTCTGGCTTAATATTCCATTTTTACATTTAAGCTTTTCATTAAAAGCCTTCACAATAACCATTTTTGTTAGTGTCTTCCACATGCCGTTGGGTGAATTATTTAGTGGAAAAAGAGGCTTTTTAAAGTGTGAATAGGATGACAGTTCTACACTTACAAAATTAAAAACTTTTAAAGCAATATTGTATATTTTTATCTATATAAAATAAAATGTATCTAAGAATAATAAAATCACATTAAACCAAATACACATTTGTCTGTATTGCTAAGTGCCAAACAGAGAATGCTCCGTGTGCTGGTCTAATGAGGGACTCATTTCTTAGATAATGTGCACTTCTGAGTATGTGGGTATGCCTAATTTGAACTTTTCCTAAACCGAGTTGTTCTTCCGGTACCGGGAGATTTGCCTGTGTTCCAGTGTATGAGGAAGCTTTCATTCATTACTCCGCACCGACTAGCGTTTTTCAGTATTACTAAATTTTTGGTAGATGTTTTCATGACTTTTTTCTTCAAAATATTACTGCATACCTATGTCATACATATTTTGTTCAAACTATGATTTATAATATCCTTATCAAACAAAATTGTATACAATAATATATGGTAATAAAATCAAGTATAAGTAACATGTTTTAATGTAAATTCTTTCTGGTTCATATATAGGAAAAGAGCATGTTTAGTACAGTGTTTTAACGATATTAAAGGCAATCTATAATATTGAAGGAGACATGAAGCAATAATTTATAAAATTCTGCCCATGGATATTTTAGCCTTTACATGGATATAAAAAAGGCTCTTCAAGTAACGTCGCAGATTAAAATGCTTCTGAAATGGAGTACTCTTTTAAACTTTGTATTGGTGTTACAGATGTAGTGGTGTTAGTGTCTCAGATTAAACTTTAAAACTCCGCTTTTAATAATATTTGATGAGTTTTTAAAACAACTCATGTTGTATTTTGTTCTCAGATTAGAAAAATTATTGCTTAAGCCTATCCTCTAACAAATATAAATGATACGTTAGGCCTTTGGCATTAAACTCAGGAAAACATTCACTAAGAATGTTGCAATTAGAATTATTTGAAGAAAAAAATCCTAAAACAACAGTTTTCATTCTATTAACTTTTTTTACATTAGTCTTATGTTTAGCCATTACAATCATTACAATCATTAGATATTTCTTCTCAACACTCGCCATATAAGCATGGCAAGTGACCAACACCATACCTAATTTGGACATTTTAGAAATACTGTGTCTTTTGTCTAAGAGTTCCATATTCAGTTTTAACCATTTGATCTGAAAACATCAAGTAAACAAATTGAGATCATGATAATTGTCTTTGCTTTCACTCCAGTGGCTTCTATCAGCAGGAATGACTTGCAGTTGTGCCCCTTCACCGAGCCTGCCAAATACTGACCAGTGGTGTTAGTTACTCACAGGACTGGATGCTACTCTCATGTTTGCCTCCCAGTGTCTGCGGATGACCTTGCTTCTAGTGTTACTAATATAATTAAAATCATCAGAAACCTGTAACGCATCCTTAGTGTGTCTGTACCTTGACCTCAACAGTGCCACTACCCTTGATCTCTTAGGCTCACCTACAGTATGTGAGGAGAGCTTCCCCTGACTTCCAGATGAATACCCTTCCTTTCCAAGTCTTGTGCACATAGTGTCTACATGGCCCCTGTCCAGTCTTTGTTCTATAAACTTCTCTCTGTGCTGCTTCTCCCTCCAGCCTGGAAAATACTTACTTGACCCTGCATCCTTTTCTTACTAAATTCTTTACCTCCTTTCTCTAAAATAATTTTTTATCTAAAATCTTGTTTTATTTTTCATCTTTCTATTAAAATGCTTTATGGACGTTCACTTAACTTCCTTCCCACCAGAGGCTAATTCTCTATCCCTGCAGGCCAAATTGTACCATTCGTACCATCGATGAACTTTTTTCTTCCCTTAGCTTCCGTGACATCCATTGTCCTGCAACCTTCTATTAGTCCTTGTCTTTCCTGTGTTAGCTACTCTCCCTTCTCCCACCTGGTGACAGACTTGGTTCTGACATTTTGTCTTTTTTTTTTTTTCCTATATACTGTACCTTTGGAAGCTCATCCATTCTGCAACTCCTGCCTTTATGATGAACTGCTGCAAAACCCGTTCTCTCTTATCTTACCTCTGCTAATCACTGACTGACATTGTGGAACATCTTCTCCCTCTGAGAGCACAGCAAAGCTTAGCACACAGACTCTGGAGTGTGATTCCTGGCTTTGTACATACATGATATGGATCATTGGGAAGGTCTCTTACTCCGAGTCATAGTTTCTACAAAATAAGGATAACCATAATACCTGCCTCACTGGATTGTTGGAGGATTCAATAAATGATTTATGATCAACTACTTAGTTCCCAATGGCCAAAACTGGAACAATTTGAATAACATAATCACAGCATTGGATTAAAACCCAAAAAATAAAATAAATATTCTGAGTCCATCCTGATCTATATAAATGATTAAACACATAAAAGAGCAAGAAGGGGTAAATTTTCTTTACAGAAGAATCCTAAGTGTTTGTAGATACTACACTCTCCAATAGATGGAGCTTAGTACCCCTTCCTTTTGAATGTGGGCTGAACTTAGTAACTTGCTTCCCAAGAACAGAGTCCAGCAAAGGGAAAAAAAAACCATAATGACTTTACACTGTAGCAATCTGGCAAGCACTGCTCTAACCCAGTGATTGGGGTTCACATCACCAAGGGTAAGTCATGGCAGCGTGTTCTCTCTAAGTGATGCTCTGACAAGCACACTTCAGCTCTACTGAATCCCAGTCTAATTGTGTGAAAGTATCAGACAAACCTGAAGTGAGAAACAATGCAGAAAATTCCTGAGTATTCTGCAAAATGTCAAGGTCAAGAAAAACAGACCAAGACACTGTCACAGACCAAAGGAGACTAAGGAGGTAAATGGGCACTAAATATATTACGGCATCTTGGATTGCATCCTGCCATTGAGAAAGGACACAGCTGCAAACAAGGGTCCAATTCGACAAAAAACAGCAACAGTTACAGAAATCCCAATAAAGTTTGCTTGACATTAATTTATTTCCTTGTTTCACCAATGTCCCACGGCTATGAAAGACACTGTATGGTGTTAGAGGAACCTGAATGAAGGGGATGAAAACTTGCTCTATTTTTTCGGGGTGCTTGGGTGGCTCAGTCTGTTAAGCAGCCGACTTCAGCTCAGGTCATGATCTCGCAGTCTGCAAGTTTGAGCCCCACCTCAGGCTCTGTGCTGACAGCTCAGAGCCTATAGTCTGCTTCCCATTCTGTGTTTCTCTCTCTCCCTTTCCCTCCCCTGCTTGCTCTCCCTCAAAAATAATAAACAT